CGAGGAGGAAGAATAGGCCCAGGGAATTCAGACACTGTGGACAATTATCAATGTATTAGTCAGCTTTTTTTGTTGTCGTTGTAAGTTTTATTTATTTATTTGAGCCACTGGTTCACTGGCCTAGGCCAAAGCCAGGTGCCAGGAGCTCTTTCCAGGTCCCCAATGTGGGTGTCAGGGGCCCAAACATTTAGGTATCTTCTGCTACTTTTCCTAGGCCACTATCAGGAAGCTGGATCGGAAGTGGAGCAGCTGAGACTTGAACTGGCACCCATGGGGGATGCTGCATCATAGGCAGCAGCTACCCCACAATGGCGGACCCATTAGTTAACTTTTTGTTCCTATAAGGAGTTAGTTAGGAAGGAGCAAAGTCTATTTCAGCTTACAGTTTGGAGGTTTGCAGTCCACAATTGAGCAACCCTACTTGATGTGGTACCTTGTGAGGCTGGGGATGCCAGAGGGACAGTCGCAAGGTGAACCTGAAAGTAGAGACACAAAGAGCACAGTCTTCTTACATAACCAACACTTTTATGAGGACTACCTCCAGTGATCTAAAGACTTCACATTAGGGCCGATGCCATGGCTCAATAGGCTAATCCTCCAACCTGCAGCGCCGGCACACTGGGTTCTAGTCCCGGTCGGGGCGCCGGTTCTGTCCTGGTTGTTCCTCTTCCTGTCCAGCTCTCTGCTATGGCCCGGGAGTGCAGTGGGGGATGGCCCAAGTCTTTGGCTCTGCACCTGCATGGGAGACCAGGAGAAGCACCTGTCTCCTGGCTTCGGATCAGCGTGGTGCGCTGGCCACAGCGCGCCGGCTGCAGCGGCCATTGAGGGGGTGAACCAACGGAAAAGGAAGACCTTTCTCTCTGTCTCTCTCTCTCTCTCTCGCTGTCTTACTCTGCCTGTCAAAAATAAATAAATAAATCAAATAAAGACTTCACATTAGGCCGCCTCCCAGACACCACAATGAGATCAAGTATCCATCATTAATCAACTAATAGTAATCTAGTAACCTTTAATGTAAGACTTTGGGTTTAAATATCTATGTGCGTTTGGAGAGTCAAATCCTGTTCAAATCATAGGTATCATATCAATATTCTATCAAGCCTTTTAATCTTAGCGTTGTGATAAAAGGGTATTCGCAGTATTTTAGGCTTGAATAATCAGCTGTCACAAAGTGATCAAGAATGAGCCTTTTTCCTCTGAGAGTTTTGTTGTGGACACTTGGAGAAGCACCTGCCACACCTGAGGAAGGACAGCTGGAATGGGCAGCAGTGTCACGGAGACCTTCGCTGGGGAGTGTGCTGTTAATGTGGCACAAAACCAGCAACAATCTCTCTCTGAGTTTTGGCTGCTTTAACAAAGTACTATAGAGGTTGAGTGACTTATAAACAATATAAGTGATTTCTTATAGTTTTGAAGGCTACCAATCTGGGATGCTGAGGTGCCAGCATCATTGGTTTCTGGTGAGGGCCTTCTTCCAGGTAACAGACTGCTGACTTCTTGCTATGTCCCTACATGATAGAAAGAGAAAGAATTCTCCAGTTTCCTCCTATAAAGATACTGGTCCCTCTTATGAGGGTTCCACCCTCATGAGCTAACTATCTCCCAAAGACTCTACTTCCTACTACCATCATTTTGCAGATTATATTTCAATATATTGGTTCTGTGGGGATACACATTCTCTTACGCTGTTTGTGCTGTGCTGTGTGGTCTTATAGCCACAGCTCAAAAGACTCTATTTTCTTTTTCTATCCATATTTTGCTTAACAAAATAAAACACCAAACCTTTGACCTTCTGATTAATCAGACTTATGTTTAACATGACAAATAATACTTACTTTTTTTAAAAAAAATTATTTATTTGAAAGGCAAAGTTAGAGAGGGAGAGAGAGAGGGAGAGGAAGAGGGAGAGGGAGAGGGAGAGAGAGTTTTCCATCCACTGGTTCCCTCCTCAAATGGTCGCAATGGCTGGAGCTGGGCCAGTCTGAAGCCTGGAGCTAGGAACTTCCTCCAGGTCCTCTGCATCTTTTCCAGGCACACTAGCAGGGGGCTGGATCAGAAGTGGAGCAGCCCAGATGTGAGCAGGTGCCCATATGGAATGCTGGCGCCACAGGTGGCAGCTTTACCCACTATGTCACAGCCCCAGACTCTAAATAATGCTTTTTTACAATTCCAGGGAAAGGGCTGGCATGGTGGTGCAGAGGGTTAAGCCACTGCCCCATGCTCACATCCAATATGAGTGTTGGTTTGAAGCCGGGCTATTCCATTTCCAATGCAACTTCCTGCTAATTTGCATGGGAAGGCAGCACAACATAGCCCAAGAGTTTTGTTCCTTGACACCCACATGGGAGACCCGAATTGAGCTCCTGGCTTTGGCCTGGCCCAGCGCTGGCCATTGTAGTTATTAGAAGAACTCTCTGTATCTCTTCCTCTCTTTTTGTGCAACTCTGCCTTTCAAATAAACAAACCTTTAAAATAATTCCAGTGATTGATCTGATATTGCAGAACATCAAGTAAGCTTGATGGAGAGAATTCATGACCACGAAACTGTGAACAGAAAACTTACACCATTCAGCCCATCTGGTCAGTTTTATGATGATGACCTGCACATAGCCAACAAAACTTGTATCCTTTCTATCACCCCGCCCCCTTAATTTTCTCTTCCCTTAAAAAAAAGCCTCTTGATACCTTGATAACTCGAGATTTTCTTCATGACAGAAGTCCACCATCTTCTCAGTTTACTGTCTTTTGTAATAAACCTGATTTCTTTGCACCAACTCTTGTTCCTTGAATATTGGATTTTGAGCAGTGGGTAGCTAAGCCTCTGTTTGGTAACCATATGAATGTGTCCCCCAAATTCAGGTATTGTTGTCAGCCCCCCAGTGTGGTGGTACGGGAGGGGGACTTTTGGAAGTTGGTTCACTCTCCCATTCCTCTGCAATGTGAAGCCATAGAATTCATTCTCATTTGCCCTTCCACCTTCTGCCATGTGAGCAAGCAGCAGAAAGGCCTCACCGGACAGTGTGATAGTGCTTTGATCTTGGACTTCCCAGACTCCAAATGGTGAGAAATAAACTTCTGTTCTTCAAAAATTCTGGAATAGCAGCACGAGTAGACTAAGAATTGGCACCAGAGGATTAAAAAAAAAAGTGGAAGCAATGTTGGAACTGGGTAATGAATAGAGGCTGGAACAGTTTTTAAGTTCCACTTTTATGGGTGGAAGCAGCCTGCAAACCATGACCGAAACACTAAGAGGAAGAAAAGAAGAGCTGCATGGATAAGCCTCTGCTTAAGTGCTCCTGATAGTGAAGACTTCTCTAATGAAATCTCAAATGGCAACGACACACAAGGTATTGGAAACTGGAGGGAAGGTTGTCCTTGTTATACAGTGGCTAAGAACTTGACTGATTTATGTCTGCGTCCCAGGGTTTTATGGAAGGCAGAATCTCAGAGCCATGAATGTGGACAGTTGCAGGAAGAAATGGCTAAGCTGCAGGGCATTCAGGCCACTGTGTGGCTTCTCTGAACTCCGTATAATAACACACAAGAAGAGAGAAATTATACAAAGAATTTACAATCTGACGTGAAGCAGAATGTCAAGATTTGGAAAATTCTCAACCTGGTCATGTAAAGAATTAACAGTATATTTTGAGAGAAAATCCAGGGGTTTGGCCTGGTGACCATTTGATAAGGGAATTAGAATGGACAGAAGGAAGCCAGATGCTATTCACCAAGTAAGTGGCAGAGCTATTTCTAAGTAGCTTCAGAGACCTTTGAGGCTGACTTTGTCATCACAAGCCTAGTTTGAGGACCCTGGAGAAGAACAGTTTTGGTGGGGAGATAAGTCCATGGTGCCTGTGGGAACTTGGAGCTTGTCACTCATAGCTGCTTCCCAAGTTCTGCTGTGGGACTCTTCAGCTACCCCAGGTGTGGCTCAGACCACCACTGTGGAAGGCACAAGTAGTGAACCCAGGCAGCATTCGCGTGGTGCTAATTCAGCAGGTGCACAGAGTGCAAGATCTGTAGAAGCATGGCTGCCTTTACCTGGATTTCAAAGGATGTCATACAGCCTCAGGGTCCAGGCAGAGGACGCCACAGGGACAGTGCCACTGTCCCTAATAAGCAGCATCCCATGGAACTGTGAGGATGGGGCTACTGACCAAAGCCCCACTAGGGCCATGCTTAGTGGTGGCACTACGGGGGCGGCGCACAAAAACTGTATTGTCTCAACACCAGAATGCTTCTAAAAAGTTTGTGGAAAATGGAATTAAAAGGTAAGTTTACTTTAGTGCACAAAAGATGGAAATCCATGCATATGAGGGATCTGCACAACCTATTTATGGAAAACATTGTGGAAAAAAAACTATGCATGACTTAAGATTTATTTTCCCCCCAAAACACATCTTTTAATCTCATTATGATCTTTTAAAAGTACTCATACTTGGAATCTAAAAATTTCAGCTAGACAGGAGAAATAAGTTCAGAGATCTGTTATACAACATGGAGACTATTGTAAATAATCATGTATTGTATTCTTGCAAACCTCCGATTAAAAAAAAAAATTCCTTTTATTTGAAACCTAGCGTCAGAGAGACAAGCAGAGAGATATTCCACCCACTGTTTCACTCTCCAAATGCCCACTTTAATAGACAGGGCTGGGCTATGCGAAAGCCAGGAGCCCAAAACTCCATCCAGGTTTCCCACATGGATGGCAGGGACCCAAGTACTTGAGTCATCACTTGCTGCCTCCCGGGTTGCGCAGCAGCTCCAAACGACCACCCATGCAAAGTTTAAACGAATGTTGTCTTTGCCCCACATTATGGAGATCAACCTAAGTTAGTTTCCTAACCCTCCACGAACTTTTCCTTTAGGGCGTTACTTTGGCGGACGCGAGAACGGCGGCAAGAACCCGGGTGCCCCCTGCCCACGTGCGCACTGTCACCGCTCTGCGCCGCAGAGCTTGCCCAGGAGGGCGGAGTCGTGGTCACGCGGGCAGGGCGCACGCTCCCGGAAGTGACGCGGTCGTCCCGTGCGTGCGGCGGCTGCGTCGGGCTGCAGGAGAAGATGGCGGTCTCCACAGGTCTGTTCCCGGGCTGGGCTGCCTGCCTTCCTGCTCCGAACTGGCTCTGCCTCTCCGCCTGCTGCTGGCGGCCGGTTGCTGACCAATGTGGGAGAAGTCGGAGTGCGCTTTTCTGGGACCCTGCGCTCCATGGAGAGCGAAGCCCGGATCCGGGGAGGGTCCGGGCGGGACCGGCGCCGAGGGCCCGGGGCTGCCGTCGGGGGTGGCGGGTCGTGCTCGCGCGTCGGCCACGCGCCCGCTGGCTGGGGGTGGGGTGGCCTTGGCGCGGGCTCACGAGCGGGGTCTGGCGGAAGGCGATACGGGAGGGATGAGCAGAGGCCCAAGGTGGGCCGGGTGTCGGCCTCCGGCACTGAAGGGGATCGAACCGAGAGGCGTCCTGGGAAGAGTGGGGGGTCTTGTTCCCCCGGACTCTCCTTGACATGGATGAGGGAGGAGAGGACTAACGAGAGGACGGTTGCTGTTTAGAAAAGGGAGGGACAGGAGCCTTCTTACCTGACTCAGCGCATGATTTTTTTTTTTTTCCATTTAAGTGAGAAACTGCAGTACAAACAAAATAAAAACGCAGAGGAAGATGAAAGCTAATTGAAGAACAAGTGGTTTCTTAGATAAGCTGTTCAGCTCCTCTCCTGGACTGAATGCGGTGGTTTCCAATGAGCACAGGCTTTGAAATTAAGTGTTCATGCTGAGGTTTCAGGAATTTGACCATTTAAAAAATGTTAATAGTGCTATGTAGGCTTTATGAAACTAGGTTGTAGAACAACGTTGTCTCATGACATCATTGCATAATAAAGCAAAATTTCAAACCTGTATTTACTAAAATGGAAAGTTTCCAGTGTATGTTGTGATTGGTACTTTGAATACCTCAGGATACATTCTGCAGACATTTTAATTTAAAAAAGATGTCTTTTAAGTCCTTTTTGGATCTTGCCTTTATTATGTAGAGATGTCATTAGGTGATAAGATCTTTAGCAATTGAAGCTTTGGGGAAATAGTTCAATATAGGTAGGGTCTGATCTCACTAGTAAAATAAGGATTATTTTTAACTACTGCACTTGATATTTGAGATCCATGTGCTAGTGATTTCTGGCCTTTTTGTTTTGAAATGAGTTTCTTAGTATCTATAGGTTTTTGAAAATTTAGTAATTAAGTGATTGGTTTTAATTATAGTTTTTGATTTTCACTTTGGATGATGTTCCTATTTAAACCACATTTTTTTCTTAACACTGTGCATAGGAGATAACTTTTACAATATTTTGAAAAGATCAAAGGTTAGGTGATACTAATGGCAAATACTTGTCATTTTCATATTACTCTGATTAGCTATGTTCTCTGCTTTAGATGATTGGTAGTATTATTAAATTGGGAAGGAACTGAGTCCAGGCTTTGCACTATTTTGACACTAAGAATATTTTGAATTATACTGTCTGCTACTTTTTTGCTTTTTGATAGCATAAGAGAACACCTAGGTTTTGTGAAATAAATGTGATTGAGTTTGAAATTAAAAATTAGATCAACTAAATGGATTTTTAAAGATTTAGGTATTTTTTTTTATTTAAGCCAAAGTGTCTTGCTAGCAATAGTTTTTTTTTAAGATTTGTTATTGTGAGAAGTAGAGTTATAGACTGAGGGAGAGACAGAAAAGTCTTCCATCCACTGTTTCACGCCCCACATGGCCTGAATGGCTGGAGCTGAGCTTATCTGAAGCCAGAAGTCAGGATCTTCTTCCAGGTCTTCCGTGCTAGTGCAGAGCACTTGGGCCATCTTCTACTGCTCTCTCAGGCCATAAGCAGAGAGCTGGATTGGAAGAGGAGCAGCTGGGACAAAAACCCGTGGCCACGTAGGATGCTGGTGCCGCAGGTGGAGGCCTACTAAGGCCTACTAAGCCGCAGTGCCTGCAGTAGTTGTTTAATAGGTCAAAAAGAAGAAAGATCTTGACAGATATCTTTTGATCTTTATTAAAGCATTATGTTTCAATGTGCAGTATGTAAGTCATGTACTTTTATCCTTTTTACAGAAGAAAATTTAGGGAACAGAAAAATCTGGTTAGGTTGAGACTATTAAACCTTCACATACTTTGCCTTGCCATCTGGTCCTCTGATTTTACATGTTAGAAAACTGAGGCAAAAGAAATACAAGACAACATATCTGGTTAGTAGTAGAGAAAAGATGGGAATCCAGGTCTTTTGCCCTAAGGGCAGTGCCAGTGCTTGCTCTCCATTATGAGGGACTGTGAGAGAGGTAAAGACAGAGAAAGAGGTCTTCCATCCACTGGTTCATTCCCCAGATGACCTCAATGGCTGGAGCTGGGCTGATCAGGATCCAGGAGCTTCTTCTGGGTTTCCTATGTGGGTGCAGGGGCCCAAGGACTTGGGCTGTCCTCCGATGCTTTCCCAGGCTCGTTAGCAGGGAGCTAGATCATAAGTGGAGCAGCTGAGACTCGAACTGGCACCAATATGGGGTATGGGATATGCAGTCTGGCGCTGCAGACTGGGGCTTTGATCTGCTATGCCATAGCGCTGGCCCCATAGAACTGTATTAATACTATTTAGTGTCTTATGGTTTGAAATTTTATTAGCTCCTAGCTTTAATAATAACAATGACTATTAGATAAAAATAGTATGTGCACTGCTTTAGATAAAAAGTTTGTTTTATAATAGTTGTAGATTGACAGGAAAGTTGTAAAGATAGCACAGTGTTCCTAAATACCTCACACTCAATTTCTCTCTTTTTAAAAATATTTTATTTTTTGAAAGTGTTACAGAGACAGAGATTGGGATTGATCTTCAATCTTCTGGTTCACTCCCCAGATGGCCCCAACATCCAGGGCTGGGCCAGCCTGAAGCCAGGAGCTAGGAGCTTCATCCATGTGTACCATGTGGGTGACAGGGGCCCAAACACTTGAGCCATATTTTGCTGTTTTCCCAGGCCATTAGCAGGAAGCTGGATTGGAAGTGGAGCAGCTGGAGCATGGACCTGTGCCCATATGGGATGCCCATGTTGGGTGAGGTGGCTTTACCTGCTGCATCCCAATGCAGGCTCCTCAGTTTCTCCTTTTAATTTGTATCGGTATGGTTCATTTGTATTGATACAATCAATGGAGAACTATTGGCATTTATTAATTTAAGTTCATCTTGTATTCAAGTTTCCTTAGTTTTTATGTAAAGTACTGTATCTGTTCCAGGACCTCATCCAGGATATTACACTACATTATAATGTGAAAAACATTTTTTTTTTTAAATCTGTTTATTTGAAAGGTAGAATGTCAGAAGGGGGGGAGGGCAGGAGGGGTGGGGAGAGAGAGAGAGCTAGAGATAGATAGATTGATCTTCCCATCTACAGGTTCACTTGCTGAATGCCTGCAAAAGCCGGGGCTAGATCAGGAACTCCATCTGGGTCTTCCATGTGGTTGGCAGGAACCCCCAAGTATTTGGACCATTATCTGTTGCTTTTCCAGAAGTATTGGCTGTAATTTGGATGGAAAGCGGAGTAACCAGGACTCCAACCGGCACTCCTGTGTGGCTTCAGGGCATCACAAGTGGTGATTTAACCTGCTGTGCCACAACCCCTGCTCAACATGAAATGCTTTAAAATTTATCACTTAGATTATACCAATGTTACAGTAGAGCTTTAGTCTCTTTGACTATAAGTACTTACAAAATGTTGATGACAAATGTTTTCTCCATCTTTAGATTACTTAGGAAGAGTAATAGGAAAGAGTTGTATGTATAAATCATAGCATAAAACTTCAGACCTAAATAGAACAGCTGAAGTAGTTTTTTCAGATTTGTTAGGAACTTGGATACTCTTGGTACATGTATGCTTTTGAAAATGTGATTAGATAATACAACCTCACCATGTTGGCAGTGTTTGCTTTGCACAGTAGTTTGAGAAGGTAAAAGTGGCCTGGCAAACTGAAACTTTTTGATCTAAATAATTGGGAAAATTATGATTATTCTGAGATCTTTGAAAATTTCAAAGTATTAAAAATTCTTCCTTTTGGTTACAAATGAACAGAAAAATGAAAACAAAACTAAGTTTACTGTAGTTTAAACAATGGAGACTGAGAATTGAAGTGTTATTTTTTATTTTTTTAAGATTTTTTATTTATTTTATTTGAGAGTTAAGAGTTGCAGACAGTGAGAGGGAGAGACAGACAGAAAGGTCTTCCTTCCATTGTTTCACTCCCAAATGGCTGCAACGGCCAGAGCTGCGCTGATCTCAAGCCAGGAGCCAGGCACTTCTTCCTGGTCTCCCATATGGGTGCAGGGACCCAAGGACTTGGGCCATCCTCACTGCTTTCCCAGGCCATAGCAGAGAGCTGAACTGGAAGTGGAGCAGCCGGTCTAGAACCGGCGCCCATATGGGAAGCTGGTGTTGCGGGTGGAGGATTAACGTACAGCGCCACAGCATCGGCCCCCTGAAGTGTTATTTCTTTATAAAAAACTTTTCAAGAGTAGTATAAACATACATGCTTGCCATTTTCTTTGTTGTATAATTTATGATAAAGAGCAAACACCATTTTTTTTTTTTTAAGATTTTATTTATTTGAAAGGCAGAGTGACAGAGAAAAGATTTCCCATCCACTAGTTCACAAAATCTGCAGGAGCTCCTTCTGGGTCTCCAACATGCATAGCAGGGCCCCAGGTTGCAGACCATCTTCTGTTGTTTTCCCAGATGTATTAGCAGGATGCTGGATTAGAAGTGGAGAACTCAACTTGGCACTCTGATATGATGTGCTGGCGCAGTAAGCAGTGGCTTAACCCAGTGTACCCTAATGCCAGCCCCAGCAAACGGCTTTTCTAAGCTTTGGTGAATTGTTATACTCCTGGGTTTAGATTACAATATTAGAACATTTTATCCTTTGTGCTTTCAGTCTTAAGAACTATCTGAAAGTTCCTTTATTGTGAAGTTTTTCACTTTGGGATGTAATTCCTTTCTCACAAGCAGTGTTCTCATTTATGTCTGTAAGCTCACCTTCATGAAGGTTTTCTGGCTGTGTT